CGGTTGCAGCATGCCCGGGGTCACGGGATCCCCTTTTGTGAGAAGCCAAGTCGATGGGGGGGGGATTCAGATTCGTTTAACAAAGTGTGTGACTAACTTAACAAATGCAATGATTCGCTTAATGACGCTGGCAAGGAAAGCCGTAGGACGGGGGCAAACTCACTGAAGAAGCGGTGAAGACTCCAACCCTGGAGGTTTTTAAGAAGAGACTGGACAGTCATTTGTCTGGAATGGTATATAGGGTTTCCTGCCTGAGCAGGGGGCTGGACTAGATGAACTCCAAGGTCTCTTCCAATATTATTATTCTTTTTTCCCCCTTCCTTCCTTCCTTCCTTCCTTCCTTCCTTTCTCCCTCCCTCCCTCCCTCCCTCCCTCCCTTCTCCAACACTGGAGGTTTTTAAGAAGAGACTGGACAGCCATTTGTCTTAAATGGTCTAGGGCAGGGGTAGGCAACCTTGGCTCTTTTATGACTGGTGGACTTCAACTCCCAGAATTCCTGAGCCAGCGTGAGGGAACTATGATCCTTTTATGAGTGGTGGACTTCAACTCCCAGAATTCCTGAGCCAGCCATGCTGAGGAGAAAGGGAGAGGTTTCCAAGCTGAGCCATGCTGGCTCAGGAATTCTGGGAGTTGAAGTCCACCAGTCATAAAAGAGCCAAGTTTGAAGACCCCTGGATTATGCAATGCCAATGTTATGCTACTCAAAATAAAGATTCTTAAAGGTAAAAAATGCCTCAAAGTCCTTTGGAAGGGTTTCATGTGCCGGAATTATAAAATGTATGCATATATAATAAATAATATAAATACATTTGTAATACCTCTATGTTATAAAATACATACATTATAAATTATAATTCCTCTTTACCAACCCTGTTTCTAGGCCATCGTCTGCGCTGTACATATTACACGGAAAGTGCCCGCTTTAATAGATATGTTCACACCACTGGGAGAGCAGCTGTTGAAGGAACAAATTCACGGTGAGAGGGCTGGTTTTTGAGTCAGAGGTCGGTGGGCAAAACTGGTGAGTTGCGTATTTTTGTTTGTATGGAGATCCATCAGCTACTTGTACCAATAGGAAACTGGTTTCATGGCTAAAATGGGCAACGGAAGGCCTGGGAAAACGCTATGAGAAAGATCGAGAAACAGTTAAGGGAAAAGATGGAGAAAAGATTATGGAAAAGATCGAGGAAAAAAACCTATGGGAATGATCGAGAAACAGTTAAGGGAAAAGATCACGAAAAGGCTAGGGAAAGGATCAAGCAAAAATTCAAGAAAAAGATTGAGAAAAAGTCAGAGAAAAGATTGAGAAAAAGTTAGGGAAAATATCAAGAACAGGTTAGGAAAAAGATCAAGGAAAGTTTCGGAAAAAGATCGTGAAAAGGTTAGGGAACAGATCAAGAAAAGATTGAGGGGGAAATCAAGAAAAAGAAAAGATCAAGAAAAGGTTAGGGAAAAGATTGAGAAAAGGTTAGGGAAAAGATCAGGAAAAGATTAGGGAAAAGATCGAGAAAAGGTTAGGAAAAAGATCAAGAAAATATTTGGAAAAAGATCAAGAAAAGGTTAGGGAAAAGACTGAGAAAAAAAGATGGAGAAAAGGTTAGGGAAAAGATGGAGAAAAGATTAGGGAAAAGATCGCGGAAATGTTAGGGAAAAGATCGAGGAAAAGTTAGGGAAAAAGATGGAGAAAAGGTTAGGAAAAAAGATCAAGAAAAGGTTAGGGAAAAGATCGAGAAAAGATTAGGAAAAAAGATGGAGAAAAGATTAGAAAAAATATCGAGAAAAGATTAGGGAAAAGATTGAGAAAGAAAAAATCGAGAAAAGGTTAGGGAAAAGATCAAGAAAAGGTTAGGAAAAAAGATGGAGAAACGGTTAGGAAAAAAGACGGAGAAAAGGTTAGGAGAAAAGATCGAGAAAAGATTAGGAAAAAAGATCGAGAAAAGATTAGGAAAAAAGATCGAGAAAAGATTAGGGAAAAGATCGAGAAAGAAAAAATCGAGAAAAGATTAGGGAAAAGATCAAGAAAAGGTTAGGGAAAAGATCAAGAAAAGATTAGGGAAAAGATCAAGAAAAGATTAGGAAAAAAGATGGAGAAAAGGTCAGGAAAAAAGATTGAGAAAAGATTAGGGAAAAGATCAAGAAAGAAAAAAATTGAGAAAAGGTTAGGAAAAAGATCAACAAAAGTTTTGGGAAAAGACCGAGAAAAGGTTAGGAAAAAAGATCGAGAAAAGATTATTTTATTTTTTATTTTATTTTATTTTTTATTTTTAGGATTTATATGCCGCCCTTCTCCCCATGGGACTCAGGGCGGCTCACAGCGTATTAAAACATCATACAAAAAAAAAAAAAAAATTCCCCTACTAAAAACCAATTAAAACCCAAATATTGGTAGCTGTGGCTCTTTAAAATCGTTAAAAATTGTCCCTATTTAAAACTCACCCTAGGTCAGGCCCGCTTGTTGAAAAAGCCATGTCTTGAGGGCGCGGCGGAAGGTTAAGAGATCCGGAATCGTCCGGATCTCGGGGGGTAGTTCGTTCC